CTCCCCCCCCCCCGTTTTGGATTACAAAAGTGGAAGAACTGCTGGATAGCTCGGGGGGGGAGTTCAGTCTCTGGATGTGGAGCCAGAAGTTGGGGGTTCGAATCTCCCCCCTTGGCCTCCTTGACAAGGGCTGGACCTGATGATCCATAGGGTCCCTTCCAGCTCTAATGATTATGATGATTAAGAACAGGGAATACTGTGCATTCAGAAGCAAACTGTCCAAGTTCGCTGTCCTGCATTTTCTGCCCTGCATTTTCTATCCTGCATTTTCTCTCAACAGGTGATTCTGGGAGGGGGTCGGATCTACATGACGCCTCGGAGGACGCCTGACCCAGAACATCCGGACGAGCCTAAATACAACGGGACCAGGAAGGATGGCTTGAACCTCATCGAAAAATGGCTGAGTGGCAAGGAGGTACTGGGCTCATGATGGGATGGAATTGGGATGGGGTAGAACCGGGAGTGCAATCTTGGTTTGGGTTGACTGGTGTGGGTGATCACGGAACAAAGGGAGGCTTGTAATTGCCTTAGAAAGAGAACCAAGGAGTGGACAGCAGATGTCCGAGCCAGCGGAGCCTACAGGCAATGCCTCGAGAGCTCTTTTATTGACTTAGCATGATTACATAGTATTTTATGAGTGAGACAGATAGGATACTAGTTACCTAATCATAACTAGGATTGGCCGAAACAACTCTTTGATCTTATGCTCTACCTCTAAGTGAAAGGGAAGAAGAAGGGGCTGCCACGTCTGCTGGCAGCTGCCACTTCCTGCCAGGAATGTATGCCCCTCACTGGAACAGAATGCAGCTACAACCTTTAAGCAGACGTTTCCCACAGATGGGTAGATCTTTAGGGACACTGGAAGAATGACAGGGATCAAATTCTGTGTAGACTTCCACAGAAGCCTTATCTCTGGCACCATCTTTCTACAAGGCTTCCGATAAATCTTCCCTTCCCTTCGTTCAGGATTCATGGGTAGAGCGTGGTCTGGCTCTAGTTTCCTAAGAAAACCTCAAGTTTTCTAAGAAAAGCAACACTCAGAAAGCTTTGCGCCTCCTATAAAGTAGATAGCATGAGCAACTCGTGAATAGAGCAAGGGACATTAGCAAGGGCTAATATTTTGGACTGAAACACACACACACACACACACACACACACTCTTACAAACCTGGCTGTAATACTGTCCACCAACTCTAGCGCTCAGTAAATACTACCATGTTTCCCTGAAACTAAGACAGGGTCTTATATTAATTTTTGTTCCTAAAATGCATTAGGGCTCATTTTCAGGGGATGTTTTATTTTTTTCATGGACAACCATCTACATTTATTCAAACACGGTCATGTCATCTTCTTCTGGTTGCTGCACAAGGGGGGAGGGCAGAGTTTCACTGAACTGGGGCTTATTTTTGTGGTACGGCTTATATGACGAGCATCCTGAAAAATCCTACTAGGGCTTATTTTCAGGTTAGCTCTTATTTTTGGGGAAACAGGGTCGTATCCCTTTTTCTTTCAGCTCTTTTCATATTTCTGCCTGTCCCTGAGCTCCTGTTTTGTACTTAAGCCCGACTGACTTCAGAATAGTATGAATTTCTTTTGCTGTGTCCCTTTTTTCTGCCTAGCAGGATTTCCCCAGCAATTACAACCGATATCTTAAAACTAGTTTTAAAAAAAAAACAGATGGAAGCCACTGAGCAGAATCCTGTTGCTTAGTTTTGCTGATGTAAGCATCGCGGAGTAAGCTGAAGCAGCAAATTGCCCCTAGTTAATGAGGCGATGCTTGTGTTTCTCCTCGCACGCCAGTCACAAATTGGTGCACCATGAACGATGCAGCTGGCGGCTTTGCTAACGAATGGCATTTTGCTACTGGAAGTGTGCCCCTTTGCACCACATGACCGTGCCATCAACCATAAAGTTTAAAACACTCTTTAGGTGCAGATTTAAAACATTCCGTAAAGGGCCGTTTTGAAATATATAGAGATATAGATATACTTTTAATGACTTTAAAAGAGACATCCAAGTAATGGTACCTTTTTTCGAGTGGTGGGAGGATTTGTTTTAATCGCTTTGGAGAGCTCTTGCAAAAATGGACGGAAACATTCAGAGCCCACTTGCCAACCGTCACCAGAATCCTTTCCTCCTCTGCTGTTTGTACGACTTGTTTGCTGTTGATTCTCAGCATTTATGGACTCTGGGCTTTACTGCTCGTTTCCAGGGAGCCCAGTACGTCTGGAACAAAACCGCCCTGGATGCCGTGAATGAAAACACCACCAACTACCTCATGGGTGAGGAGGCGCCGGCTTTCTCCCTTTTGGCTCGGGGTGGGGGGTGAGGAGAAAAGCTCTGCCCCATCTCTTGCATCAAGGTGGGCAAGCTGCAAGGTTCAGGGGCCATATGGGTTTCCTCAGGACCCTCTGCAGAGGTTTTGGAGGGGGAAACCCCACATCTGTAGGGGCCCATACCTTGCTTAATTGATATTTTCTTTCTTTCTTTTTCTTTCTTTCTTTCTTTTTCTTTCTTTCTATCTTGAATCCTTCCTTCTCTCTTCTCTTCTCTTCTCTTCTCTCCTTCCTTCCTTCCTTCCTTCCTCCTGTTTTCTTTCCTTCCTTCCTTCCCCTGCTCTCTTTTCCTTCCTTCCTTCCTTCCTTCCTTCCTTCCTTCCTTCC